AAAACAAAAAATAATCCAAAATATATAAAAATTAATAATAAAAACAATACATTCGTTTTTTTATTTTATATTAAATTTCTAATATAATATTAAATTTTTAGTGACAAAACAAAATTTGAATATTACTTAAATCTGAAATAAAATGATTCAAGAATATCGATATTAACCATTCATTCTAGACTATAAAATGGAATTAACAAGCTGTCTTCAATTCTGGATTTTCCGTCTTTCAAAAATTTTTTAATTCCATTTCTTTTTCCATAACAATCAATTGATATTAGTTACACAGGTTTTCTTCAAATATAAAGCTAAAAATATAAAAATGTGAAATTCTTAATACAACTACAATCATTTTGACATTATAAAAATTTAAATCTAAAAGCTATGAACAATATTAACAATTAATTGTTATATTCGTTCTTTATTTTATTCGAATTTCTTTATACGTTTAATTTTACGGGAGGTACCGGCTGAGTTCGTCTTCCACAAATTTGATAATTCAATTTTTTTTTTTTTTGGTTTTGATAGTACGGAACACGTATGACATTTTCATCAATATATCAAATAAAAAATTGTTATCTTTCAAAACAAAAATGATTGAATGTTTATTAAAGGTTTGTATATTTTTTAGAAGAAAACACGGGAAACACAATATTAACAAGATTCTTCTCATTTTGAAAATTTAATTTCACTATGTTCTTGGATTCAATTGCAATAAGAGTACTAAATAAAAAAAAATAAAATCTCTTCTTGTCAAAATTCGGCACTCAGAATTTTATATTCTTCTCAGTTGAAAATTTAATTCCACTACGTTCTTCGATTCAATTGCAGTAAGAGTTCAATTGCAACTAAATATAAAAAAAAATAAAATCTCTTCTTGTCAAAATTCGGCACTCAATATTTTCAACCGCATATTTGTTATATTTTCTTAGCTGAAATGGAAGAATTTGTTATATTTAAATGGCTTGTTAAACAAAAAAAAAAAATACGTATGTAATTGCAATGGAATCTGTCAATATTTTAAAAGGTAATAAAAAAAAAATACAATTATAATTTAAATTTTTAAAGTTATTTATTTATACAAATTAATAAAATTAAAATATATTTTTCTTTTTTTTTTTTTATATAATAAACAAACTAGATAATTTATTGTAAAAATTTAAAATAAAAATGAAATTATTTTAAATAATTTTATTTTTTTTTTTTTAATTCTAGAACAAAAAAAAATTATTAATTTTTTTTTTTTTTTTTTCATTTAATTTAACTTTTGTTTTCTGTATTCTTTTGAGATATTTTAATATATACATATTATATGTGTATATCTCACTCATTAAATATTAATTATTTTTCTTCATTATTTTCTCATTTTAAAACGAAAATATATATATAATTACTACATAATTTGTGATCATGTATGTGTTTATTTTTTTTTTTCATATATTTTTTCTTTTCTTTTTTTTTTATATTTCCATTTTGTTCACTATATTATTTTTATTAAAATCATTAATAATTAATTATATGTGGTTTATATTATTTTATTTATATTTTTTATTTATCAATTTTATTACATTATTATTTTTTATTTTTAATATTATATATTTTTATTTTATATTTATATTATTATTATAATGTTATTCTTATAATAACGTTATTAGCAATTATTATTAAATTTAATTTAGTAAATATTTTGTTTTTTTTTTTTTTTTTTAACATTTGAAAATTTTTATTTAATATTTTTTTTTTTTTGATTTTTAATTGTTTTAAATTTTGTTCGTATTATAGGTTTTTGTTTTTTTTCTATTTTTCCTCGGGGATTGATATTTTATTTCAGTCTTTTGAGCCGCAAATAGATAATAGTTTTTTTGTAAATAATAAATATTTTTAAAATATACAATAAAAATAAAAATAATATAAAGAAAACGAATAAAGAAATATTTTTAATTGGGAAGTGTATATTATTAAATGAAATTAAAATACGATATAGTTTTGTTAGTAGATTAACGTAAATAAAATATAGTATTACCATTATGGTAGTAATTTAGTTCACCATTATTAATAAATAATTCAAAATTCAATTTATGATTTTGAATAAATTTATGAATATGTGATTTGTGTTCCGAAATTGTTCCGAAATAATGGTGTTCCGATATAATGAATTTGAATATCGAAAAATTTTAATAAAAGAAATTTAATTTTCTTAATTATCTTTTTAAAATTTCTTTAAAAATAAAAAAAAAAAACTATTTCACAAAATTAAATTTTAACAAATGGAAAAATAAATTTCAAAATAGACATTTTTCTTTAATAATAATATTTAATATTATTTAGTTATATTTATGAACATAATATAGAATTAGAAATATGAAGATGATATTAAAGAAAATTGTGTAGTAAAAGTACAATACAATAAAAGAAATTCGATAGCTGCCATAATATTAAAAAAAAAAAACAAAATAAGAATTTAGTGTATTTTTAATAGTTTATAGTTTCCGATTTTCTAATAACGAAAATATTGTTAAAAAATTTTATTAAGAAAATACATTTAAATCAGGAAAAATTGATTAGATTTTGGTTGAAAAAATTCAAAACTCTTATATATTTGCGACTAAAATGATTTTTAAATTGAAATCTCAATCCTTTTATAGTTTTTAATTAGAATTTTAATTATTAGTATTTTACTTTTTTTTTTGTTTTTTGTTTTATTTTATTTAATTATAATTTAAATAATTTGTCTATGCTTGTAATTCCTAATAATTATTAAATTGCTATTTTTGTTTTTCTCGTTTTACTTAAATATTTTGTATAATTTTTTTTTTTTATTTTGCATTTTTTTTTTAATGTTTTTTTTTTTATAAATTACAAATTGAGTTAGATACATAGTTTCAACTTTTTTTTTGTTTTTTCAATTTATTTTATTTAATTTATTTTGTGGTAAATTTGTTTCTATAATTTTTTTTCTTTTTAACAAACAATTTTTAAATAATTTTTTTCTTTTTTTGTGTTGCTTTATTCGTTTTTTACTTAATTTTCATTAAATAGACTTTGAAATTTCTTTATTTTTTGTTTTTATTTAATTATTTATATATGAAAAATATATTTTTTTTTAAAGTGCAATTATTATTGATTTATTTGTTTTTTTTTTTTTAAATTTATTACATATAAATATAATTATTATCGAATCAGACATTTTGCAAACGACGGGTTTAATTATTTTTTAATACTATTTTTTTAATTTACTGTCTATATTTGTTTGTTTTTTTTTTTGGAAAAATTTTAATTTTAAAAATTTCATGCTGATATTGAAAGCGAGTTTTACTAGAATTTTTAAATGATCTATAGTAATATTGTGCCTATAGTTTATTTTTCTGTTTATTTTGTTGTTTTGTAATTGAATTGAAAAAAAAAAACAAAGAAATTTATTATAATTTGCTATTGAAAAAATTGCATTCTAATATAATGGAAAAAAGCGAAAAATCATCTTGTAATCATTATTAATATTTGTGTTTCTAAACATTTTTATCGAATTTAATAAATTACGGATGTAAATAATAAATAAAGATTTAAATACAAAAATATGTAAAATTAAAAATGATGGTAATACAAAAAACACATTTAACATTTTTGAACCAAATAAATATTGGAAAATTAATTTTAATAATAGATTAAAAAATAAAAAAAATAATTTCCATTAAACAATGGGAAAAGTGTTTTACCATAATAAAATAATTATGGTCAGTAATATAAAATAAAATAATTACAATCAAATTTCGTTTGAAATTTTAAAAAAATTATATTATTTTTAATTTAAACAAATTATATTAATTGTGTGGAGAATTATGAAATATTAAAAAATAATACTGATTTGATTGTATTATAAAATATATATAAGAATTGATATTGTTATACAAATTTACCGAAATTAAATCAAAATTAAAATGTTATAATGCGAAATGAAAAAATTGAATTTCAAAAAAAAATTTAAAAGTTTATTTTAATAATTTTATTAGTTTTAATAAAAAATTTGTAAAAATTGTTAAAATTTTTTTTTGAACAAAAAATTCATTTTGCATTTTAATAAATAATCATTTATTTTCGAATTACAGAGATAAATATAAAATAAATAAAATATTCAAGTTTCGAAATGTGAATACGAAATATGTCCTAATAATATTTTTGAATTTTTAAAACAAAATTAACTTTAATAATATTTTAGTAAATTATTTATTGTGTAACTTTATCATAATTATATATTTATAAAATAATTTATGAAAATTAATAAAATAGGGGCTGATAAATTCCAAAATGATTATTAAGGCCAATATATTAATCATTTAATAATTTTAAATAAAAATTATTTATTATATTATTGAATTTAATTTGACTTTTCTGTGATATTAGAATAAATTTTCGATATAATATTGTTATAACAATTATGGTTGTGTAAGCTCTATGATAATTTAAAAGAAAAAATACATTCCTACTGCTCACACTATCAAAATGTTTAATTGCTTTTTCGTACAAAATCAAATGGATCATTTAATTATTTTTAACAATTATTATTATTAATAATAATTTGTTAAAAAATAAATTTATAATTTGAAAATAATTTTATAATATTTGTGTTTTATTCAATTTTAAATCAACAATAAAGCGTTTACGATGGATTTTAAAAAGGTACTTAAAATTGTTTTTTATTTTTTGTTTTTTTTTTTGTGTTCAATATTAAATTTTTGTTTTTTTTTTTTAATAACAATGAGCTACTAAAATAGGCCAAATTATGATTGCAAAATGTTGTTTTTGTTTATTTTTAAATTTTTTTTAAGAAATTTGTTTTTTTTTTTTTAAATTTTAAACATGAAATTTCATTTTTAAAAAATGTAGGTGGCTTACGTTACAAATCCAATTTTTGTTTTTTTTTTTTTTTTTTTATTTTGTTTTTGTTACTAACAATAAATGCAATCAATTTCATTCAATTTTTTATTTTCGTTTTTTGTAATGTTTCGGTTCTATTTAAGAATTGAGCAAAAATTAAAAATAAATTTTCAAAGCTTATTTAATTAATTTGAATGCTTTTATTTTTTAGATAGTTTCTATAATGTGCAGCATTTTTTTTGTTTTTTATTTAATAAATAAATTTAAAAATATATTTGTCTCTTTTTTTTTTACCATAATAAATTTTACAATTTTTTTTTTTTTGTTATTAATTTTGTTTTACTATAATAGGTAAATTGTATTGAAATTTTTCTCTAACTCTAAATTGAATTTTTTGTATTTCTCATTTTTTAATTTTAATTAAATTTTAATTTTAATTTTTGTTAATTTTTTTCTGTTTTTATATGAAAATAATTCTAAATATTCTGTTATCTCTTTTTCTCTCTTACATTTTTAGCTTGTTTCTTTCTTTTGTTTTTATAATTTGTTACTAAATGGTTTTTGTTTTTATTTTAATTAATTGTTTTTGTTTTTTTTTGGTTCCTATTTTAACAATTTATTAAAGTTGCCTAAATTAATCAATTTTTTGTTTTAAATTTTTAATAATTATAATGTTTAATTAAATAAAAATAAAAAAAAAAAATAAAAGAAAAAAAAATATTTAAGACTAAAACGAAAATTTTTATGTAAAATGTAAATTTTTCTTTTTAAACATATTTATAATTTATACATGGAAATAATATAGTAAAATACGAAAAAACAAACACGAAATCGTTTCCTTGCTGTATTTTTCTTAATAGTTTGTTTTTTTTTAATTTTAAATCTGCTATTAATTAATAACTAGCTTCGTGACCAGCTAAAATATATAAATCATGACCTTCTTCACTACCTAATGTACCAGAACGTAAAATTTGACTTTCTAATGCTACAACCCTAAAATTAGATAAAAAAAAAATTTATATAATAAATTTATTTTAAATAATAAAATCTAATTACTTATCAGATCCTAATAGTTTATAAGTTCGACTCATATCTTTAATTTCTTGGGTTATTTCTCCATTCCTAAGTGACTTGCCCTGCATGCCGTGCCTATGGAATGCTAAAACGCTATCTGGTAAACAAACTAAAAGTAAAAAAAAAAAAAATTTTAAAAATTAATTTAGTGAAAATGTAATTTTTCACAAAATCTTTTGTTTGATTAATGGCCATAAAAAATTATGAAAATTATTTATGAAATTGTACAGTTGCTAATTTTTCTTATATCAAAATTAATTACATACCTATACTGTCAATATTAAAATCGAAATTTAAATGTGATAACATTTTCTTATGCTGTTTTGGATTTCCTTGTAATGTAACAATTTGAATTTTATCACCATAACATACAAGAATTGCATCTTTTTCAATTTGATGAACTTTAACAACTTTAATAAATTCTCTTCTAGGTACCATTGTTGCAGTGCCTTCATAATCTAAATCTTCTGAATGGAACCAACTTGCACCTACAATATAATACAAAACAAATTTAGTATTATTGTATTTTAAAATAGTTAAAAATTACCACTATTCATATTTATTAATTCCAATTTAAGACAACCATTATTTGCTTTTCTAACACCCGTACATACAATTGGATATTCTAATTCTGGTGTTATTATCATTTCAAAAACTGGTGTTTGTCCACCATTTTGTACAACATTACCACCAATATTTGCAGCTGATACAGGCCATTCACATTGTTTTAATAACATAAATTTATTTAATGGATCATACCATTGCATTAAAAATATTCCAGCTGGTGTTGCACCACATAAATATTTATAACCATTATATGGATTACGTGTTACACAACATTGTGTACAACCTTTTGTATCTGGAACTTTTGTTGTTAATGCAAATTTACGTGGTACTAGTCTTTCTGGTATTTTATTCATATGTAATGAAAAACGATGAGTTTGTTTTGAATGTAAAGCTATTAAATCATGCCTATATAATTGACAAGATTTTCCAGATAAACTCATTAATACATCTTTAATAACATATAACCATGTTGTTCGTCTTGGAAATAATTGATCGATAACAGCATCATGTAATTCATTCATATTTAAATTAAATATTCCTTCTTCAGCTCCAATTAATAAATGTTGATCCCTTGTCTCTGGATGAATCCATGATGCTGTACAATGTACTCTTAATGGACAACCATTAAATACTTTTGAAAAGCATGCACCCATATGTACCTTTGGTGTTGGTGGTAAACCATTTGATATTGGTCTTGGTGGAGTATGTCTTCGACGATGGGAACGTTTCGGAGGCACAGGGGGTGTATTATTTAATAAATCTGGTTGAGCTTCTTTTTCTAAAATAAAAAAAAAAAATTTTTTTAAATATTTTTTTTTTTTAAGAAATACTCAAAATTACTAACCATCATCTTGTGTACCACTGTCACTAAGACTTCTTGTTCTAGATGATTTACCCATATCATTTAGTAAACCAATCAATTGGTCCATTGAACTATGTCTTCGTGGAGAATCTTCGACTCCATTCTGTTTTAAAAAATAAATTTATTAATGTTTAATTTTGACGATTTTGTCATAAATTATCATACCTGACTACGTTCCGTTCTATGATCACAGTTATTGCTGCTGCATACATCATTACCACTACTATTACTTCTATTATAATTTCTAACATTATCACCGACATCATTAACAACTGATATTGTAGTTAATGAATTTGATGTTTCAATATTATTACCATCATTATTACCTTCAATATTATTAATTCTATTATCATCAGTATTATAATGTGCATTATTATGATGATGATGATGATGGTGATGATGATGATGATGACCATGATGATTATTACCATCACCAATTCTATTTTGATTATTTCTTAATGATGATGTTGTTGTTGTTGTTGTTGATGTTGGTGTTAATGCTTCAATATAATCAACATCATTTTCATATATTGATATTATTTCACCATCAATTTCACGTAATAAACCATTACTAATACCATTACTCATTTCAATATTTGTTGGTGATACTGTTGAATGTTGTGATGATGCTGTTATTGGTGTTGTTATAATACCACCACCACCACCGCCGCCGCCGCCACCACCACCACCAGTTGTTGTTGTTATCATTGATGATGATGATGATGATGTTAATGGCGATGATAATGATGTTGGTGTTGTTGTTGTTGTATGGGTTGTTGAAAAATTTAAATGATTATGATGTCTTCCATTATTAATATTATTACTATTAATATTATTGCTATTACAATTATTATATTGTCCAAGGCCGCCAATACCGCCACCAACTCCACCGCCTCCATTTTGACCATTATTACCATTTTGTTGACTTATACCGTTATTACTTACTGAATGTGGGCAAACATAATCAGGTGATAAAATATCTTTGGTATCTGACATTGGTAGTGTAGCTCTATTATTAAAAATAAAAAAAAAAAATAAAAATTTAAATTAAAATTTTTTTTTTTTTTTTTGAAAAACATTATAATTTTTTTTTTAGGATAATAAAATTAAATAAAAAAAAAAAGTATATAATTGGACAAGGGTAACAACACATAAAATAAATTAAAAAATTAAAAATAAAAAAAAAAAAGAAGAAATTCATAGGGTCGATGGATTTGAGAAATGAAAAGAAAATTTTGTAAAATAAAAAAAAAATTTTTTTTTTTTTTTCATGTTGAAATTTTGATGTAGAAATTTTTGATTTTAAATTTTTTTATGTTATTTTTGTTAAAATGTTGGTTAGTATTTTTATATATATATATATACATATATATTTTTTTATATACATTTTATGCATGCAATATAAAAACTTGAGTATTAGTAAAAAACAATCAAAAATACAATAACAAAATTGAAAACAAGCCAAAAAAAAAATATTGTTTTTTTTTTTTTTTTTAATTTATTAACTTCATTTTTAACAAGTGTATACAATATAGTGTAAAAATATGCATAATAACAGGTGATTACCAAACACAATAATAAAAAAAAAATCATAAAATAGAGTAAAGGAAAAAAAGAAAATTTAAGAATAATAAGTTTTGGTTAAACCCGAACAGGAAATGTCACGGGGTCAAGATTATACATAAGAAATTTTATTTCTAAATGAACCATATATATAGAGCACAATATACGTCATAGAACCTTAGCAATAACAGCAAACGAAAAAAAAAACAAAAATTGAATGTTAAAAAAATATTTAATTTATCTACTTCCATATTGTAAAGTTTAAGGGTGTTAAAACATGACTTTCACAATTTTTCACTAATATTTTTGTTTTATTAAGAAATTCACTTTAAGATTTCATGGTGAAAATTCTCTTTAAAATTCAGTAAATTTTAACGTACCCCAATATTGTGTAAAAATTTTTATCTAGCTCTTGTGATTAATACTATTAAATTTAAATGTTAATTGGGTTTAAATTTGTTATATGGGTTTATTAAATCTATAGATTATTAGATTATCAATTTGTGTGTTGTAGGAGTTTGATTTATTGGTTATTAATTTTGTCATTATATACCATACATAATAATACAATGCGATTGATTACAAATAAGATGGTTATCTGTAATTTTACATAAAGGATCTAGAACAAAAACTATGAGGCTGAAATAACAAAACAACAAAAAATAATTAACATTGATATTTAAAACTGGTAATTATTTGAAAAAAAAAATTCATAAAAAGAGCTCTAATGAAAAATAATAAATTTTAAAAAGTATTGAAAAAATTGCATACTTTTTGGGGCAATTTTTTTTTTTTTTGTATAAAATTCATTGTAAGCAATGATTTATAAGACAAAACTTATAATATTAAATGTGATAATAAAGTATTTAAGACAAAAATGAAAAATTCATCCCAATTTAAATTGATCTTAAAATATTAAGCAACGAAATAATGGAATTGAACAATTTATTAATTAATAATCGAAATAAATTCTTAATGAAAATTGAAATTTATTAAAATTAAATCTGAAATGAATTTTAATTATGAATGGAAATAATTATTATTAATACATACATAATAATAGCATCTTTACAAAAATTGAATGAGAAAAAGCAAAGCAAAGCCTTAATTGAACACTTATAACAAAAGAATAAATACAAAATTTTTTAATTAAATTTGATCACAATTAATTAGAAAATTCTAATTTTATTTAAGACAAATGTTATTACAAATTGTCTGAAATAGAACTATTCTAATCTTCTCCATATATAGAATTCAAGAACTTAAAAATTTTATATAATGGCATTGTTATTCGACAATAAATCAGGTTTATTCACTTACAATATACTTTTTTTTTTGTATTTAAATTTGAAATAAATTTAAAATTTTTATTAAATCAATAATTTTTCGAGTACGCAATGTATTTGAATTAATTTATTATCTAATTAGTTCATCAAAATATTTGAAACATATAAAATAACGGGAACTTTACAAGATTAATTATAGAAAAGTAGATTTATTTAATAGAAATGGAAAATAGATGAAAAGTATACAAAAAAAAATATGGCAGAGTGAAAATATACAAGAACGATTTATAAGATAATTTTGATTGTGTATAAAAGTAGAAGCAGAACTGGTCTTATAAATTTTAATACCAAAACTTTCGTACTCTAATATACGAAATAACCTTTTTTTTTTTTTTTGGAATATTTTAAATTTAAAATCCTTATAAAATTTCTTCTGGCATGGTTTAGAAAAATAATCATAAAATAGTGACAAAAAAATAATGCGGTATTCTATGGAAATTATAGAGGGTTGATGATCTAGGATAAATTGGGTATTAAAATAGATAAGGTAAATAGGCACATGTATATATATACAAAGTATATGATAATATTAAAATGGGGTTATAAAACAATAAAAATAGTAGTAACAGGAAATAGGAAATGAACAAAATATACAATACTCGAATACAAAGAAAAAGGTGGTTATATTTAATTTAAAACAAAGAATATGGGGGGGAGCAAAAACAGAAGTATAGCGTGGGCTAGGGGTAAGGGTGGGGTCGTGGAATGGAATCAAAAATAAAAACAGAATAATAACGAAATATTTTACAATATGAAAAGAAGACAAAAACAAAAGAAAAAATTAAGAGAGAAAATTTTTTTTTATAACTGTTGTTCTTACTTTCATTTTTTTTTTCATTTTTTTTTTTTGTATTATGCTTTTTTTTTAAATATATATATATATATTTTTTTGTATATGTATGTGTATATGGTTTTCTTTGTATTAAATAATTACCTGAGTTTTAACTCCTCATCAATATATTGTAAGAGACTCCTACAATTAAAATTTGAATAGTAAATATACCAAAACAAAAAAAAAAAAAAAAAAAGATAAAAAAAAAACATAAAAAGAAAAGAAAATTTTAGAAAAGAAATTTTTTTTTTTTTTGTTTGTTTAGAATAGAATATCGGAAAATATAGTTAAATAAGAAATGAAAAATCAGAAGAAATTTAGAAAATTTGAAAAAAAAAAATAAAAAAAATTAATAAAATTAAAAATTTTCTCTTATTAGGAAGCAAAAAATTACAGCGGAAAATAATTAGTAATAAAATCAAAATTAAAAATAAAATTGAAATCAAATAAAAAATTAAATTAAAAAAAAAAAATTTATTCTCAAAACTACGGTGCTCTCAAACTATATAATGGCATTTTCTTGATAGAGCGAGTCAAAACCGAAAAAACAAAAAAAAAATCAAACATGGTTGATTAAAATGAATAATTTATAATTTTCAAAAAAATAATTTCATAATATTAAATTAAAAATTTCAAAAAGATTATTGAAATTAATTTGATTTTATTAAAAATTTCATAAACCGTAGAATATAAAGTGAAACTCTTATAATATGAACTCTTATAATATGACAAATTATTTCTTTAATATGCACTATTTTATTGCATTTATAGCATAATAAACAGACAGAAGTTCAAAATTACCTATACACAAGGTGCTTCGCATATGATGGCAAATAATTTCAGGCACGATTCTTTAATCAATTTTCAACAAAAAAATTGTATGAGTGGACCACAGCCTGGGTAAAATTATCAAATAAAAATAAATTATGGAAATTTATGGCTCAGATCGAATTGATTGTAAGACCAGCCACTAATTGTGAGGTTCCGAATTTATCCCCGTTTATTTATATGCAGGAAAAAACTGGTACCTTTTTTCTCAACAGGCAGTATCTCGAAAAATATGCCCCCCCCTCTCCCAACCCTCACTTATGCGAAACACCCTGTGTAACATAAAATATGTTGATAGATTTTAAGGGAACCGAATATAAGAAGAAGCAATAGGGTATTTTCACTTAAAAGAGATTGAAAAATACAAATTTTCTTTATTGCTGAAATTTTTTAAGAATCAAACAATTTAACCATATAATAATTTCCGAGAAACAGTTTTGTGTGCACAATAATCAAATGGCAAAATATGACACACAATTTTTAATCCTAAAGAATTCCTCCATTTTTAATTCTCAATTTTCATCTCAAAAATAAACGCACTTAATAATGAAAAAACCAAAAAACATACAGGGTATAGATTAATAATCCAACACAATATTAGATTTCAATCTGCGCCCCCCCCCGTATAATTTACAAAAATAATTTTCAAAATGCTAAATAATAAAAAAGTTTTTTTTTTTCAATTTATCAAATTTTTTTGTACCTTCTTTTTCAACTTCAATCAGAAAACCAAATAAGTACAATTTATTTTTTTTTTTTTTAAATTTTTCAAATTTTGTAAGTTTCTATAAAAAAAAAGATTTAAAAGGTCTTTAATAACCTCATTTCATGTAAGTTATTCAAGCTATTATGAAAAAGTGGAAAAATAGTAAAGAAAAGCAAGGCAGAGAAACATAAATATTAACACTCCTTCGTTTCTGTTTTTTTTTTTTTTGGTGGAATCTTTTGATGTCGGAGAGAGCATTATGGAAAATTCAAGCTGGGTCAACAACGTTATTATTAACATACAAAATTATTATCGTTTTTTTAATATTTTTTCTTTTTTTTTTCATTTTAAAATAGAAAATTTTTAAAATGAAAATTCTATGTGAAAAGAATATTAAGAATTAACACAAGTTTTAAGCTATAAGCGATATTTTGTTCCTCTTTTCATTTAAAAAAAAAAAATCATTCTAATTAGTAGAATAAAGAATAATTTTTTTTTTTTTGTAGCCCCTGTTTACTTTTCATTTCTTATTTGCTATTCGTTCTTTTAATACAAACAAGGCTAATACAAGCTTAAAAAAGTAATTTCCATAGAAAATCTAAACTCTTTAGATATGAACTCTTTTTTTTTTTTTTTTTTTTTTTTTTTTTTGCTTTTATACTTCAACTTATGTCTTCATTTGTGAAAATTTTAAAATTGTTGAATGCGATTTTAAATAAAATCTCTTTTGGTTTTGTTTTTCTTCTCTACTTCTTCTGTATATATTTTAGCACATAATATTAAGGTTGATGATTTCAGATTTTCATATAGAGAAAGAAAAATTTTTTTTTAAAAAAGTTTTTGTACTAATAATTTATTTTATATTTTGTTTTTTTTTTTTTGTAAGGAAATATTTAAAGAGATTTGTGTTTCAAAAAGAAAAAAATTTATAATTTTTTTTATAATATTTCACTTAAGAGATTGAGATTTCTGAAATTGTATATAAAATTAAAGAATTTAAAATTGAAATTATTATTTAATTTTAATTATTATTATTAAATCTTACTATAGATATTCTAATAATTATTCAGAGAATAATGAATTTAATAAAGTTTAAATAATTGAATTTTGCTTGAGGTTTAAAAATTTAATTGAGAAATTTTAAAAATTGTTATTTCTCATGTTTTCATATGAGTATGGGAATGTGAGTAAAAATTGTAATTTATACAGAATGATTCTGTAAAGCACACAATGGTGATTCTGTAAATAGAATTATGATCTATTTTTTGGATTTATGTACGTGTCAAAGCCCAATAATATTCAAAATATAAGAGTTTTAAAAAAATTTCAGAAAATATCCCCCCCACCACCCCTGAATACTGCTGAATTTTTACAATATGTTTTCCAAATGGTCAATAAACTTTAAAATTATTGTCGTATGTTTCGAACTAAAACTAAAACGTAAAAAAAAAAAAAAAATTGCATACTTTTAGGGATGTAATTTATATAATTTATAATTTTATTGAAAAGTTTTTTTTTTTTTTGTAAATATTAGGGATCTTGGCAAATTTGTGAGAAGTTCCGGCTGATTCGAATGAGGGGCGGAAAAGGAAAGATCCGGTGGTGCCACAACGAGTCTGAATGGCCTAGGTATACCATTCGGGGGGCCGCGTTAATCTTTACCTAACCTTTATTTTTTTGTAAATAAAAATCATATTTATATTCAAAATTTTAAAGTTTCCCTGAAATCCTGAAAAAAAAATTAGTATTTTACCCTATAATTATAATAGAATTCCAAATCCTTTTTGATAAAGCTAAAGCACCTTCACTCTAAACTACGTATACCTTTATATTTTAAAGAAATTTTTTTTTTAGGTTTTTGGTTTTATTTTAAATGAAAATGAATAATTTTATACAATGTTTTCATATAATTATCAAATCCATTTGCATTATTATATTTTTTAATATACAAAAATTGGAAATTTATCGTTTACAATACAGAGAACACTCTGTGAGAATGAGTATTTGATATTATTGTTCGTTTAAATTATTTTATTAATCAAAACTCAAATCTATTTCAAAATAATTAAACAAAAACAGAAATTAGCGCTAATTTCAATTATAATTAATTTATAATTATCAATTTTTATAGAAATTTTTATAGAGGTGTTTAAAACCTTTCGCTCGTACATATATATTATACTGAGATATAAATGAATTGAATTGATATTACAAATGAAATATGAAAAATTTATTATGAATTAGTAACCAACCATTAATAATAATTTTGAAAGCAATTTGAAAGCAAATTTGAACAAATAATATATATATAAATGAATAAAGCATATAATTATTTTGCTTTTGTATTCAATTCAATTACATACCATTAGCTCAGTTTAATATTTATAAAAAAAACCCCGGAATTCGAATCAATTGTGAATACATTTTTAATGTGTACAATACGAAATAAATGAGCAAAAAACCAAATATGTTTATATAAAAAATTGCCACAACAACAACAAAGAATGCCATTTTAGAGTATATATTCTTATAATATTATTCTGTTAGCAGCTGTTATTCAGTAACAACAATTAAACATCCATAAATGTAATATATGTATATACATATAGCATAATTTATGCATATATAGTCGATATAATCATTAAATATCGAATTTGGCTCAATAGTAAGTAAAACAACAAGAAATGCATGAAATTTTTGTTTTTCCAATTTTATTTTAATCATTATTGAATAAAAAAAATTTTTTAATCAATTTTCAAGCAATTTTTAAAACTCTCCAAAAAAAGTCTCCAGAAAAATAAGTCTCCAAAAAAGTCTCCAAAAATACATTTATACATGAGTTTTTATTAAACATCAATTAATTAATAAAAATAATCAAATCACCACATTCATATTATACATACATCATAATATAGATATTTAGTATGTATGTTTATGTATATGAAATTTAATTAAATGCTCTATACAACAAAAAGAAAAAAAAAAAACAATCAAATCAATTTTGTTTATTTTCATTTATCGAACCTGATCGGCATTTGTAAAATCATTGTTCCAGTAAGTTTAGGTTGTTTCTTTTTTAAAAATGGCCTAATTATATAAAATTTATATAATAATAAGAGAAAATAAAAAAAAAGAGAAAATTAAATTAAATAAAAATGAAAATTCTGACATTTAAAAATAAATAACAAGAAAAAAAAACAAAAGTCCTTCTTTTTTATCATAGATTATACTTATTATACAACTAAACAGAAACAATATTGTTAATAGTAATGCTTTTAATGTTCTTTAGACATGACGAAGCAGAAAACTTATTAAATAATAAAAGACAAATAAGAATAAAATAAAAAATTAAAAAATTTTAAAATCGAACATTAATTTTAATAATGAAAAACAAACGAAAAAAGAAAAATACAATAAAACACATACAACTTTTATTCAATTTTCACATCCAAAAAATAAAGCCAATTATTGTATTGTCAAATACAATAATTTTCACCACACCAAAACACTCAACAATTATTATTATTATTATTCATTACTAAATACGACTCTGAGCTTGAACCATTCTCTCAGATATTAATTGATTATTGTACTCAAAAACATAAAACAAAAAAAAAATTAATTAAAAAAATTAAATAATTTCAATGAAAATCAATGAAAAAAAGAAATTCAACTCAATTATTAGTTAAATTAAAACTCAATATGGAGAGAGAACAACGCAAAATAAAAAAAATGATGAGTTGAAAATATGAAAATGAAAAGTGCAATTAAAATGTGTCTCTTCTCTTCTCTCCTCTCATTTTTTTTTTTATGTATTCCTCAATATTTAACAAACCAATCACTCTTTTCATCTCTGATTTATTATTTATTATGTATACTTTTTGTATATTTTCTTATATAAAATTGAATTGAAAAAAGAAATTTAAAAAAGTTTTAAATTAAAATTCGAAAAAAAAAAAAAATAATTTTTTTTTTCTTATTTTCATATTGAAAAAGGACTACAAGATAGTTTTAATAAAAATTAAATTACAAAAAAAAAAAGAAAAAATTAAAATAAAAATAAAATATGGAAAAATTTCAAACTTACATATCGCTAGGCAAAGTTTCCGGACTAGATGATCTCTCATTCCATTGTGACGATTGTAATCCTGAAAAATAAAAATTAAACAAAAATGATTTGTGAAAATTTTAATAAATTTTTCGAGTATTTTAGTTTAAAATTGAATATTTTATATAAAAATTATGTTAATTAAAATATTTTTTAAAATTAAGCATTAAAAAAAAAAACGAAAAAATTGAAAAAGAATAAACTGAAAAATAAAAGAGTTATGCTTAGCTGAATATTATGCTTTCTAAATTATTTTTTCGAAAAGTCAATTCAGTCAGAATTTGGTTTTCCGATTTTTTTTTTTTTTAATTTTAAATTGATTTTGAATTCGATTCATATTCCAAACCAGTGAATTTACCATAATGAAGCATTGAAACTCAACAAATTCATTAAATTTAATTTAATTAAATTTATATGTATGTTTATTTGTGTAAGATTTTTGAGAAAAGATCCAATTATAGATATTCAATTTATACTCTGCAACTATAATACAATAATTCTAATAAATTAAAATTATTGTATTATAGTTCCAATTACTCCCATTTTCTCTTGCAATTACTCCCATATATTGCTTTCTCATAATTTTATAAGTATTATCTGCACTTTCATACTGTTTTATGCTCTTTTACACAGTATTAATTTTGTTGTGGAGCGTAATAAATACACTTATGAATAAATTGGGAGCGAGGTGTAAAAATTGTTATCAAATCGACAAATATTTAAAAAAATTTCACCACATAAATTAAAGTCTAAAAGAAATAATTATAAATTCTTGTTTAAATTTTATTTTCCCCAATATAATTCCAATAATTTTCTCATTATATTCGCAAATTTCGGATAATTATTTGGTGTTCCAATCTAAATGTATTTTCTAGTAAAATATTCCAAATTTCATTTTGTATAATTATATTATGCACATTATTTATGGATATGAGTGAAATCAATGTGTAAAAAAAATCAAAACAATAAACTTAAAGTAACAAGACATAATTAGAATATTAAAAAACTATATTTTATAATATAAAAACTAAAAGCAAAAGAATATTTAATTAAACAATTTCAAAATATTTATAAAAATTGGAAAAAAATTAAATTAAATTTGAAACTTTATTTTTAGCATCAAAACCTAAATATACATAATTCTATTGCAATTGAAAGCTATATGTTCCATTTTTTTCAGTTTCTAAATTACATTATGAAAAAATGTTTACATTTTATGCGCATTCATAGCTGTTTTTTTTTCTGCAAAATCAAATTTTTTTTTTTTTTGCGATTTAATAAAAAAACCTAAAATTTTTCGGTGTGGTGAATTCATGGTGAATAAATTTCAAATTCACCACACCATTGTTTTTCACCACACCAACAAAAAAAAAAAAAAATGCACGACATGAGATTAAAAAAGAATATTATATAGTAAGTTGTTAACATTCATAATTATTATGCACGATATAATTAATATACATACTTTCATAGTATTGATTATTTGATAAATATGTATGTATGTGTGAATTGGTGATAATTAATGAGTTTTCTAACGTTTTTAATATTGAAACAATAAAAAAAACCAGTAATTTCTAATCTATAAGTAAAACAGGATTATAATTTTTCATTTTTTTTTTTTAACTTTTTTTTTTCGAATATTATTTTTTAACATTATCATCACCAAATAACAAAGAAAACAACAAAACTATATAAAAAAAAACAAAATTAAACAATTGTTTTTTTTTTTTGTGTCTTTTTCTTGCATTTTTTATTCAACACAACCAAAAAAAAAAAAAAAACTAAAAAACTTACCAAAATTATTTCCCCAATAAAATAATGGGGCACCTTCAATGCGCATTTTTTGTGGATTTATCAGCATTTTTAATTGCTGAGTCCATGAATGGCCCCCACCAGGTGGCTCTAATCACATATATATATATATATATTTATACATATACATATATTTATGTAATATATATTTATAATATAATATTAAAGAATAATATTTTAATAAATAAAAATTATATCAAGAGAGAGAGAGAGAGATATTTATATATATATATATGTATTTTATTCAAGTTCTTATGTATATGTTAGTATACAAAAATAACAGTACTTAGAATTTAAATGATCACAAATTTATTGCTCTCTATAACGATTTGTCTAATAGAGTGTGGAAGTGAGAATTTTTTTTTAATATTTTTTTTTTTGTCATATTGCATGTCATTAATGACAGAGGAAGTTTTTAATTGAAATGTGAAAATATTAAATGAAAATTTTTCTAATGAAAAATGTCAAAATGCAACGCTCAGATATTAAAGAACGATAATGAAAATAAAAGCATATTGCACAAAAAAAAAAAAAAAAAATAAAAATTAAAATTAATTGGAATTTATTAAAATGAACAATTGTTATTAAAATAAAAAAGAAATGTGACAATAATTTGACAAGATAAGAAGCAAATCATTTGAAAATTGTTTTAAAAACGTCAATATTGAAAGTGCCAAAGAAAAAATTCGGGTTTTTTATTTTGCTTTAATAGAAGAAGAACAATTAAATAAACTACAATAAATAGGTAGATGTGTCAGAGCTCGTATTTTTGTGTACAAAATAACTTTAACTTAATAAAATTAAAATAAATTAAGTGATTAATCGTAATTTTGCAATAAAATCTGAATTCTTGAGTTAAATCAAATAACATTCGAGAAGAATTGCCTTTTAATAAAGGTATGTTCACTGTAAATTCTAAAGTATTATTAACCCAAAGACTATAAAATTTATTAATCAAATATAATGTAAAGAACTTGCACACATACATGAGCTATTCGAATAATTTGTGCATATTGCTTATGTAGAGCAATATCCATCCAGATCATGTATTATCCAGAGCGATCTTTTGGACTCCGAAAGGAACTTTTGGTTCGATTTTGTTTATGTGTGCGCCGGTGTTCCATTACCCGATAAAAAACTTTTATTTGAAAATTATGAGTACAAAAGACTTCTTTTTAACACTTTTTCAAAAAAAAATTTTGAAAAGAAGTTCTTATTATAATAAACTATAGTTTCACTCTGTCCCGACCGTACGTCCACGAACATGTTTACAAAACTTCTACAATCTTGAAGATAGAAAGTTGAAATTTTATATGAACACAGATCTTCACTAGAAGAAAATTTTAACAGATCTCCCACCACTTTAAAAGTTATATTAGATCCCCCCCCACCCCCTCCCCAAAACCCTGAAAATACCATTTTTTAAATATTTATTGTAACAAAACCACAAAAATTTTTTAAATTCTACAAACACAGAAAAGTTGTGGCTGGCTTCTTGTATCGCGTCATACTATATTTGAGCTTTAATAAAACAAAATGGTGGTTAAAATTTCCCGTTTTCTAAAATCTACTAAAATAAATTTTAGTAGCTTTTAGATACTAATTTAGAAGACAATTAAACACAGAACAGTAAGTTATAAAAAAATAAACCAATTTAAAAATAATTTCCTTTATATTTAAAATTTTTGCTCAAATATTCTTAAACAGTTAATTTTCAAAATTTAATACAGAATTAAAATTTCGAAAGTATTTCAATTTAATTTTTTTAATTCAAATATTAAATATCAATTTGTTACCTTAACTCTTTAACATTTTTTACTTTAATCAAAAATTTTAAATTTATTGAAATTTAAAAATCCTTTTTAATCTTTCAATTTCCTTTAATAATTTTTCATAATATTTTTCTCTTCTTTAGAAAGAGACTTTAAAATTATAGATAATCGTTTCCATTAAATATGGGAATAATTTAAAAACCACTTCAATAAATTAAGTTATTACGATAAAAAAAAAGTTATTTGGAAAAAAATAACAAAAACAAACCACAAAAGTAAAGGAATTTTTTCTAAAATATTTTCCAAAATACAAGTAATTTATAAACATGTAAAAAATAAATAAAGGAGTAATAATTTTTTTTTTTTTCGTCGGAGATAATGTCCTAATTTTCATAAAAATAAAATTTCCTTTAAAAAAGATTTTTTTTGTTTTTTGTTTTTTATTTTTCTTTTCTTCATTTTTTTTTATACAAATTATGTATGAGTAATAAAAAAGGCATAAGAAAAATGTTCAAATAAACTTAAAAGCATTTTTAAAAATTAACAAAATATGAAGGAGAGAGGAAAAACCAAAAATAAAAAAAATATTATTTTGTAAAAGCAATTTACAAGAAAAATAAAACAGAAAAACGCAAATAAATGAAAAAAAAAATAAAATAATAACAGCAATTTCTACAAAATCCTTGAATTTTTAGAGTTAACATTGAAAATATTTCTCAGAATTTGAATAATTTCGTCTCTTTACGTAATTTATGCGTACATACATTTCATTTTTTTTTTTATTTTTTTTTTGAGTGCTCTCTTAATTGTATATAAGTACTTGATTTACATTTTAAACCTTCAATTTAATAAAGATCATAAATTTTTGCGGTTTTTGTTCATAAAGTATAATAATTTTTAATTAAAATAAAATTATAATTAAATAAATTTATAAAAAACTCGAATAAATAAATTTAAAGACGCGCATATAAATGAAAAAAAATATATATATAATTTTAAGTGGACAAAGGGTTTGCATATACGTAAGAAAAATATTTTTTTTTTTTTAATTAGAGGGAAAATGTATAAATTTTTTATTTGAATTCTAATATTCATTCATATTATCAACATTTGATTCAGTGCAAGGGAGATTCTACAAAGGATAAAAATAAAATTTAGGGAACCCCTTAATATATGCAAATATTTTGTTCAAAAAGAAGTATTTCCTATTTATATGTAAAAAAAAAAGGCAACAAATTTTTGTAAAGATTTTTTGGAATATGCGGAGCTTTATCAGACACAATGTGGAATATAATATACTCATTACGACGAAAGTGCGTTTCGCCGAGTTGAATTATAGGTTGCTGAAATTTTTCAAAATATTTCATCCTAGATATATGCAATTTTTTTTTGTCTTTCAGTATGAAACTGCAATTCTAAGGGTATAATGCATTCTCTGCGGCGGAGACTCTGTTGTAAGTTTCTGAAATTTTTCAAAATATTTCATCCTGGAAATATGCAAATTTTTTGGCTTTCAGTATTTAACTACAATTTTAAGGGAACTATGCATTTTTCACTGCGGCGGAGGCTCTGTTATATGTTGATGAAATTTTTCAAAATATTTCATCCTCAAGGTATGCAAATTTTTGGCCTTGAAATATGCAACTCTAATCCCTAATAGGGAATACTACATTAACATCGATGAAAGCTCTCTTCGCCATATATATATTTGCATATATCATCCCCTTGGGTTGGCAGTTCCATTTTAGACAGTCAGCACTCTTTGAATTTTTACCTAATTTTCACTCAAAATTTAAAAAAAAAAATTCATTCTAACTTAAACATCCCATCTTCTAATATTATTCTCTCTTTTCTAATTAGCATCCGCCTCCCGTTATTTTATACATATATCCTATTTAAATTCTCCCAATAAAATAAATTTCTTTAAAAAATCTTCTCTGTTGACATTGGCACATCATATAATATGGGTTCACGTGAATTCTTAATTTGGTCATAAAATATCATTAAAATTTAAGGAATATTCAACATATTAAAAAATTCTTACCACACTATATATGAATATTTATTTCATGCAAAATAGAAAATTTGCATAAAACTTTGAATTAGATAAAAGTAAAGAGCAAATATGAAAATTCAAGGTCAAATTATTGTATTTAAAAGGAAGTGAGAAAATATTTAAAGTGATAATTTGTGTTATAGTGACACAAAAATTTTACTTTTCTTCCATATATAATATGCAGCTGAATGAAGAAAAGGAGAACAAAACAATGAACAAACAATAAGTAATAATATATTTCATAGACCATATAACAACTAAACTAACTAACGCTATTTATTCATTATTAAAGTGTCATATTCCTGGTATATTTTCACACAAAAAAATAAAAAGTATAATTGATAAAATTAAAGTGTACATAAAATAGGGCACATGGCCAGCCCACATATATAAAAGAAAAATAGAGAAAAAAATTAAATGAAAATTGTTTGCATAAGATAAGTAAGATAATAAAAAAAAAAAAATTTTATAAAACGTTCAGAAATAAAAAAAAAAAAATGTGCGGAACGAAACACACGAAAAACGTTTTAACTGATTAGTTTCTACAAAAAATTACAAAATTCACTTGTTCAAACAAAATGATTGATTAGATTAGAGATCAAATGTTTTGTACACAGAGCTACTCTAATTTTGCTATAGAATTTTATAAGTGAATTTTAGCAAAAAAAAAAAGGCTGGGGATTTCGTTTCAACATTAATAGTTGATAAATTTTAAATATCACAAAATATTGAAGATAAATTGAATTTGACTTGAAATTATTGTGTTCGTCTCCGGTTTAATACCTTCATAGTTTTAAATATTATAGACAAGAATATAGACTAATACAGACGTAACCTATCCTAACCACTAAATTTACACCGTTATATCAAGATTCAGAATTGCGCGGACGATGACATCTTGCGGAAAAATTTATCTCTAAATACAGATAACGTAAAAATTGAAGATTCTTACATTTTATTAGTTTTCTAACAAAATATAACTGGTAAAGATTTTGTATCACACCTACATTGCACTAAATTCATAATTAATAAATCTAGGATAATCTAGTTTAAATTAACAGTTAGTATTCATACACCTTACTTTATATTATTTATGGGCGCACATACGATTTAAGTGGAAAAGATTAAATTTTAGTGAAGATTAAATTTTTTTCATTTAATGCTTTCTCACTGTAAGATTATATAAATAATTTTTTTTTATTTTAACCAGAATGTGAGAAAATTTTAAATTTGTTGTAATAATTAATTATGTAAAACTGTAACTGGACCTACATTATATTAAAGTTTAGATTTAATAGAAAATTAGTTTTACAAATTTGTGACAGAAAAGCGCTACAAAATTGTATTCTTCCAAAACTTTAAAAATAAATTGTTTTAGAAGAAAATTTTAGAAATCTCAATACACCCGCTGAGAAAATCATTTTTAGAAAATCTCTTACTAATTCCTAATCCAAGAAACGACAGGAGTTGAGATCTCTTGAGTCCTACAATTTTGCTTGACCTCATCAGAAAAATCTCGTAGCTCATAGCTCAACAAAAATCCGGGGACATCTTCTATATGAGTAAATAACTAAATAATTTTTCTATTTCAAATTTTATAAAGATCACAAATTTAAACGCAAATTTTTTTTAGAAAATTAAAATTAATTAAATTTAAAACAAACCCTATAAAAATATTAAAAAATTTTAATGACAAAAATACAAAATTCTTCGTACTTGACATTTTAAAATATTTTCTTTGTTTACTTATTTATTAATAACCTTAAAAACATTTGTACTTCAAAATAAAAACAAAAAACATTTAAATTTCACACACATTACAAAATTTATTGTATTTACAAAAACAAAATATTAGAACATAAGTATGTACAAACGTCTATGTACTTGTATTCGTCTATGTACTTGAATAGCATACCTTACAAATATTTACCTAATAATACTGGCATTTAGCTTTTGTATACAAAACCGAATTCTTAAATACTATGTAGACATAAAGTTTTTCATAATATATAAGTGCATATTTACGAATTAACAATAAGTTCTTAAACACACTGCAATTCGTGTAAGTCTATGTTATGTGAACTTTCAACAATTTCCATATAGACTTTTGAAAAATTAAATTGATGCCTTTGGAAAATCAACAAAGCTCATGTAATTAATAAGGCACTTATTTACACCTCAGATATTTAAAAAAAAAAAAAATTGTTTACAAAAATTAAAAAATACTAAGAAAAAAAAAATTATTTTTTTGATTAGGTGATTACTGGCAATTGAGTCAACTTTTAGTATTTTACAGATTTCTGTACATACTTTTCACTATTTACTATGTTTGTATATTTCTGGTTCGCGTCCCAGATAGGTCAATCAGCTGTTGGTGTCTAAAAGGAGGGAGACTAAGTTAGTGATCGACATTGCAGATTGGTTTATCATTTGCACAAATTATGATAATCTGTGATTGAACATGACAAGGCTGAGTATATACTTTGCTCTTATGAAGCATTGGCCATAAAGCAACTGATTGACTTGCGTAAAAATATATTGTGGCAACCATAGACTTGTGAGAGGCGTCGCTTAGACGAATTTGTTTTTACAAGAGGATTATAGGCCTTACTGTCATTTTGAAAACATTTGGATATTACAATAAATCTGTATGACTACACTGACCTGGTCTGAGGTCGATCCCTGCCAATCTACAAATCGCATCTAATCTAATTTGTGTTCATTTAAGGTGTTTTTAAAAAATTACAAACAATAAGGGGGTCGACAATAACAATCGCGTACATATTGAAATAAAATTAACAAAACAAATAATAATTAAAATAATAAAAAAAAAATAAATGTGAAAAACTCATATTTAGTGAAACAAAATAAAGCAAGCTGGAAAGTAAAACTATTTTTAAATCAAGTTTGAAAAATAATTTCGGAAAAGAGGTGCAATAAATGAATTGCATAACCAAATATGTAGTTTTTCTTAATTTGAAATTTTATGAACGAGAATTGGAAAAAAAAGTGAATTGAAAACAAAGATTAAAAACATACACACATTAATTAATTTGTTTTTTTTTTTTTTTAAATAAAGATGATTAGAGGAAAAACAAATGGAAAAGCTTTGGAATGAATAAAAAAATTTAAAAAACAATTTTGTTTTTTTTGCCTTTTTTTTTTTTTTGTTATCAATTCGTATTTTGAAATATAATGTTCATTAAAATACGAGAGTGTATGTGAATTAAACATGAATGAATAAAAAACAAATGAAAAATGTTATATACAGGGTGGTTCCGAACGAAAAGTTTTAATATTAAAATTTCCATAAAGCATTAAAATTGCCTTTAATCAAAATTATATAAATTATTATCAATCGAAACTAATTTTTTTCTCTGTGTAGTCGTTCAAAAAAAAACACGAATGAATTTTAATAAGAACAGGTAAAAAGATTCTGCCCCTTGAAAATTTGAGTGCAAAAATTTGTGGTTGAAGTATTTAAAATTACTTTTCATATGATTGTATAACAGTTTTCACGGATATTTCTAATCTATAAGTGAATATATGACTGCCAAATTTCATGAATCTAACTTTTTATATAATTTTTGGATATATTTAATTATATTATTAAATATAATTAATTGGATTATTTAATTATATATTTTTGGATATTATAGGTTTTAGAGTTGTACGGCAGCTACCCGAATCCTTTGTCCGAATGAGTTCAATTTCAGTAAAGAGTTCGTCTTCGGCAGAAAAGAAGCAATTTATCTTTGCCCTACTCGTTTTTGAGTTATCGTGCAATCGGACGAACAGACATGTCTTAATTAACTTAATATTTTTAACCTAAACAAGAATATATATCAATGTTCATACCGTAGACAACTCCTTCAAATGGTTACAATCTCTATACCAATGTCAATACCCTTCAAGCAGATGTAAGGTATAAAAAAGTCGAGCTTTTTCGATCAAAATTTTATTTTCAACACGAACCAAAAAGAAAGAACAGAATAGAAGAAAAATTAAAGAAAAATTTTCAAAATTATTAAGAACCGAACAATTTTAAGAGAACTTTATTTTGAAGAGAGTCATTTATTAATTATATACCTACACATTTCCATTACAAATTACGACGAAATTTCCGAACAGTAAAATTGGTATTATAAATTCCGTCGGAAAATATTTTTTAAAAATAAAATGCTATCGGAATTGAAACAAATAGTAAGAGTTACAATATTAATATTTAATATTTTTAAATATTAATAATATGGCACTAGGTTTTGGAGTTTTAACAACAAGCTAGAAGAATCACTGACTTAGAGAACATAATTTTTTACTCAATTCTTTCTAAAGACAGTGAAAATAATAGTCATTATATAAGTATGACTAAGTAAAATACATTGAGTCATACCAAAAAATATGACTAGGTGCTTCCGTACTTTTGTATTTATTAATAAAATATACAAAATCTAATCTGAATCACCCTGTACAAAACTAATATATTTTTATTTTAACTCAATATTAAAACAGAAATATTATAGGAAATGGAAAAAAAACAAAAACTCTTATATACTAAATTATTATGTATTTTTTGATGTTTTTTTTTTTTATTATATACAACTTTTATATATGTATAATAATATTTATATATAAATTTTTATAACTCACCTGATTTTAATGTATGATTATTATGTGGTGAAACACCATTCGGCCTTGAAGTCATTTTACTGGCTATTCGTTGTGGTACACTGGCGATGGCCTATTAGTATATTTTCCAATAAAAAAGAAAACAATAACAGAAAAAAAAAAATTAGTAATAAAATTTTGTTAAAAACATATAGAAAGAGAATATATAAACAAAATACAAACACATGTATTATTAAATACAAATACACATATACATAAATATTAATAAGAAGAGAGAAGATATTTAATGTTAATAACCGGATATTTAGACGAACAAGTATATTAAGTATAACTAAGTAGTATAAATTAAAGAAAACATGAACTCACTATTAAAAATCTACTAGATTTTTTATTGAAATTTAAGATGACAGCGGAAGGTGTAACTTTAGACATTTTTAAAATTTTAGATTTAAATTTTTTTTTTATTTATTGGAATCACAAAATTTTATTCACAATATTTTTAGTTGCTTTTGTGTATGCCTGCTGTTTATCTCTTTCAAACTTTCATCAAATCACTCAGTATTTTTTAATTAGTTATAATAATCACAAAGTATTTAATCAACTATTTACTTAGCTAGTAAATAAATATTTCGAATAAATTTTAGAAAATAATAAAATGATTGACAACACTGTCCAACAACAATGACTAATAATTTCGTAAAAGAATAAGAGCAAAAAAAAATGCTTAACAAAAAAAAAAAATTACAAAATGCTGTTATCGATTGCGCAGCTGTCTACTTAGTTATCGTGTATACAAACTCGCGTTTCTATGACTATCGAAAGACTAGCCAAGTGACTATTACTTAAAAAAAAAAAACTGTTTTCCAGTTTTTTTTGCTTCTGCTTTTGAATTTTAAATGAATAAAAATTTTTTTTTTTCTTTTCTGAAATTTTTCTTAATAAATTTTTTAGTAATTTTTTATTTTTCATTTTTTCGCGCATGTTGTTAAAGGTTTTAATTAAAAAATGTCGGAACTAATTTTTAGTTTTTTTTTGTATTTTTTCTATTTTTTTATGGTAATGAAAATATTAATTTCAATACTATGATGGAATCGTATTGTATGTAGGAATATTGTCCAGTCAGTGAAGCAAAGCATGTTAATAAAAATTTTAAATTTTAGAATAAAAACGCGAAAATTAGCCATTAACCTACAAAAAAAAACAAAAAAAGGTTTAAAATTTTTTTAAATTTATTTTAAAGTTCAAAGAAACCATTGAAATTAAGCTAGGAAAAATAATTATAAATCGTAACTGGTTATGGGGTAATCGTTTTACTTATACTTTAAAATTTCCTTTATGAACAGTGTGTTTCACAAAAGCAATTAAATATGGAGTGTAGCAAAGATGAAAAGTAAGATTAAGAATTTAAGAAACAAGGAACGCAAGGGATTAACTTTAATCGTAACAAGTTATAGGTACATTTTGATACTTAATGAATAAAAACATATTCACAGAAGCTATCAGCAGTGCAGCACAAGAGTATAAATGAAAAAAAATCACTCCATATTCACGTAGATACAATAGCTCGCATAGCTTTCAGTCACCGTCGTTTTTCAACTCAACAAAACCTGTACTCGTCAGTAAAATTACTTAGTCTCGAAAAATAAACATAACTCCGATGGAATTCAGAATATAATATTATTTACTGTACTAAACTAGATTGTGGATTACAATGAAACTGATGAAGACTGACGACTCGCATATATCATAGTAGCGATTTTTTACAATTTCTTTGATACAACAATGAGGCCGGCGTATTTCGAAAACAATTCAATTGTAATTGTCTCTAATGTGACTAACATTCTTACCTACTTACAACTGACGTTAATCCTACGTTACCTGACAGATAAAAAAACAATTATTTGTCAAATTTTTAGAGATTGAAGCCAACCTTTTCAAATTTCATATAGGAAAAAGGTGTTCTTTATAGCTTACGTTTCCTTAAGTCACCCTACCCTGTCTTTTATTTCAATGTTTCAATTCCTTTCTAACAATTTATTTGTGAAGCACTCAGTATTTAAAAAACGAAATACTAGAAAATGATGAAATAAATTTTTTTTCTACTTTTGCTTTTTTTCATAAATTTTTTTTTCTTTTTCTTCTTCATATTTTTTTTTTCGTATAAAGGCAAGTAAAATACTAAACTATAATAAGCTCATACTTTTTGTATTAAAGTAATTAATTATTAAGTATATAAGCAAAAAAAATTCTTAAACTTACATCATCATCACCATCTGAATAAAAATAAAATTGATTTGGACTTAAATATTTTTGTAATAATTCTTTAGCTGTTCTTGCTGGCATTTCACCCTGTACAAATGGATGCTGTAATAAACGTTCTGCTGTTGGCCGTTTTTTTGGATTTTTTGTTAATGCTGTCTTTATAAAATTATGAAATGTTGGACTCCATTTATCTTTATCCTTTAACGTTGGTGGTTTAAAACCACTTTTTGACATTAAAAATAATGCTCGCATCGGATGCAAGTCAAACATTGGAGGTTGTAATTCAGCTAATTCTATATATACATATATGGGTGTATGTAAAATTTATTTATATTAAAATTTTTATAAGTATGAGTAAAAAAATAATTTACTTACCAATAGCTGTAATACCACATGCCCAAATATCACATAATTGATTATAACCACCTTTTCTTTCAACAGCTGCTACTTCAGGTGCCATCCAATATGGAGTTCCTGTAATTATAAATAAAATATTGAATATATAATAAAATATTGAATTTTAATTAAATTATTAATAGAAAATTATCTTAAAAAATATGTTGGACAAAGCATAGTGAACAAGATTAAAATTTCACAATATGTGTATGAAATGTTTCTTCCCAAAAATTTTTTGCCAATTCATTGTTTCTTCCCATTTTAGTGGGAAATTGCTTTCAAAACAATCACTGTATTGAATAACACTTCATAGTTAAGCAAAATTATTTGTCAGTTGATTGTAGTAAACCAACTTTTCCAAGGACTATAACAATATGAGGCCCTCCTACATTAAATTTCACTTTTCGTAGATTGTAGATTTCTACAGCCGCTACACGACGACCGAATTCAAGAATCTATTGTGTATTTTCTTTGGGTGCGGGTCATGTCCTCACAGCATTCGCTCGATATCTACCCTTCTGGTGAACTCGAACAACTTGCGAGACCCGGAATACCAAACTCCACCACCGTAAGAGCAAAACCCTGCAGTATTTCTTTCTTCCTACGAGTTAGAGCATCACACTCTCCCACAGGTTGTACTGAAATCTTCTAACCCTACCCACAAAATCTGCAAAATGTCTTCACTTTGTAGGCCGAACTTACTGAAGTACCCTGATTAGTCTATACAACAAAACTTTGGTAAGAATCCTCACTTAATTCCTGCCCAACCCTATATGACTTCTGGTCGTAAATTAGAACAGAAGCCGCTTGAACTGTCGCAGCCCCGGAAGGACTCTCCATAAAAAATCTTTAAGATGAATTCTTCAGAGAACGCAATCGGAAACTTCGACTGCCTCCTCTCTAATTCCCTGCCTAGTGTACCACGAACAGCATTTAGTCTGATTCCGCAGAAAGGCTCCAGGTAAACAATGTAACTGAATATTGCTTTAAATTAGTTTAACTTATATTGAAAAATCATGAATAATTAGCAGGAACTTGTAAAGAACATTGCTATCTTATAACCACTAGTATTTTATTTGACTTGTCTTTTTTGAAATTTCAATTATTGTAAGCAAAATCGTAATCCCCAATCCATAATCTCAAAAAAAAAAAATCTATAATAACAAATTGTTATTCTCTTATAATAAAAAGAAAACATAATTTTAAATTTTATTTTAAATATCTTTAAAAAAAAAAGAAAATTTAGAGCATTTTTTAAAGTGATTTTCCATTTTCTTTAAAAATATTGCAGGCGTACATATATAAGGATTCTTTACAAGTATATAGTATAAATGTTTCTAGCATATATTTTTTAATATTCAAACAAACACATATACTCGACTTTTAAGATGGGAAAGAGAAAGGGAGAGAGAGAGAGAGAAAATAAATAGAAAATAAGAGAAAATATTCTTTTTTTTTTTCGATATGCAATTTTTTCCCTTTATCATTTCCATCTTTTCAGAAGAAAAAAATTGTAAAGAAAATAGAATGAAAATAATTTAAGAAGAAAATATAAATTTAATAAGGACATGAAAAAGATCCTCAATATTGCATTATCCTTGACATAAATTATATACAGAATCTTATTCTTATTTTTTTTTTTCTTCTACTACCTTATCCTTATTTCGTTCTCCTCGCATAATTTTTTGTTTTTTACTACAACTCTCGTATACACACAGTCTTTCTTTGCTGTTTCAGCTTTTTTTTTCTTTTAAATTGTGTTTTTGTTTTAGCTTTAACTGTTATACAAAATCCTTTTTCATTCTCTTATTTTATGTTTTTTTTTCTACTATATTGTTTTTTTTTTATTATTATTATTTAATGTTAAGTTCTTTTCCATTTGAATAGCAATAACGATAAATGTATTGTATTAGAGTTTGAGAACAGAAAAAAATAACTATGTGTGGGCTTTATAATAACAAGGTTCCCTCTATACTAATTTAATGAAACAAAAAAACAAAATATGTAAATATCAACTATAGCAATAACAACAATGATGATAAGAAAAAAAAACAATAATATTGTAAAACAGTAGAGAGATAACAAAACAAATAAGGAAAAGGACTAAAAAATCCCGTATATTTAGTATTTTGTGATTTTTTTTTTTTGTAATCAAAAGGAAAGACAACAGAGCGGATGAATTCATTGAATTTTTAATATTTTTTTTTGTTTTCATTAATTTTGTTAATTCATTTGTTATATGAGAATGAGAATATCGAATGTGTATGGCATGGTCGTATATTGAAATTAAGAATTAGTTGGTAATTTACTTTCAACCATCCATTCATGTTTGTGGATGGCTTCAAATCGAAAAAGCATAAAATTGTCATTATATTTCAGTTCATTTTATTTATATAAAATTTTTTTAATAATCTAATTTTAATAATTTTAAAAATAATTTAAATAATGGTTTTTGGAATTAAAATAAATAAGAACTAAAATTGGATTAGCATTTAAAAAAAAACAGGAAAAATGGATTTCAAAATGAGACACGAAGTGACAGTTAATGTAACACTACACTAGTACCACTACAATTCTCTTGTTCTCAACCTTATCAAATTCTCATTTCCAAAATTCAAAATCAAGCAACAATAAAAATAAAATAGAGAGAGAGTACTGAAAAAATTCAAGTAGGACTTTATAGGATGAAGAATAAGAGAGTTGAAATCTCTCTCTCTCTCTCCCTCTCTCTCTTTTTGAAAGATGAATTTCTCATTTAATTTTACGATTTTGTAATTAGAAATATTTTTAAAAACATATTCTGAGTGAGAAACAAGGTCGTTTTTGATTTATAAAGCGATTCTGAATTGAAATCCGATATTGAGTACAAACCACTCTCTCATTTACTCTCTCATCACAATTATACTCCCAATTCTATTTCATATTGAGCAAATTAAGCTCATTATAATAAATTTTAAGTAAAATAAAGTGGGGTTTAATTTTAAAATTTTTTAAAGAACAAATTAATTAAATTTTTTTTTCTTTTCTCGAACATACAGCTAAATCCTGCCTTTTTTAAAATTTTAAAGTAATTTTCTTACAACGCTGTGGGCCAACTATACAATTACATGTATTATGTATATATACATATTCGTATATCATATTTATTCATATGTGAATTCCCTTAAGTTCTGTTCTTATTTCCAATTGTGTTAGTGTTTAAAACATTTCACTAATTCCTGTATAATGATATAAAAATTAATAGCATCTAGGTATATAACAGCACACGGATGAATTTTAAAATTATATTTTATTTTTTCCTGTTTCATGTGTCACAACTATACTAATGAAAGTCACAAAAGTGGAACTTTATGTACGGTTTTCTTGTAATTTTCTTTTTTTTTTGTTTTTTTTTGTTTTAAAAAAAAGGAAAATCCTTTTCACTACTTAATATTTCGTTTTCTTCCTTATTTATAACTAGTTGATATCAGCGTGAATAAAGTGTTGGAAAATAACATATGAATAATAACAGGAATGTATGTATGATGTGTAGACATGTACGGTTTATAATCACCTGAGTTGTATAAGTAATTAATTAAAAAATGAAATTTTTTTTTTCTTATTTTTGTTATTTTGTTTTAAAGCGCAATACAAAATGTTGAAATGTTTTAAATGCGGAAAAAATATAATTTTGTTGAAAATATTTCAATTAAAAGTTTAAAAAAATAAAATTTTTAAAAGTGAAAGAATTCGTTTTACAACCAGTCTTTAGTTAAGCATAAATATTCAATATTGTAAATGGCAGACTGATCAATGACAATCTAGAATGCGTCTTTTTAAGTACGGGTTGCTTGAACATTTTCTCGACACACATATATTTCATGAATCTGAGCAGCTTTTCTGGGATAATATCGCGTAACGCGCCGTAGTAAACTAACTAGGATCTACTTAAGTAGTTTTTTCTCTTTAGGTTGATACTACAGGTGTTGCAGAGAGGTTTTCCGAACATTTCTAAACTTTTTTCATGGTGATTTTGCCTGGACGCCTTCCTCTTACATTCAGGCTTTTGTTAATTGAATACCGCAAAAAGGACTATGGCAAGATATTGCACCCAATACAAATTGACTGGGTTGTCTTATATGAATCGATTGTGTGTACTAAGGCACTTCTTACCTCTACACCCTTATAGTATTTAATAAATAGTTGGAATAGGTAACATCAATCTGGTATTACAGTTCCACTTAAACTTAAAGATTTTCTACTCCAGTTCTTTTAATTAAAATTTTTCTCAAAGCTATATCTTCTATAGTCATATCAACATTCCTACAATGATAGAAATATTGTAGCTCTTTTAAATACTGCCTTGAACACATGTTAGCCAAATGTTATCAGTGATCGTTAACCTCAATTTTTTTTCAATTTTATGGAATGTATCTCTCTGTAGTCTGTACTCTAATCATTAGTCTCAGATTACTTCAATATTATTGAATGCAACTTCTAAAGTAGAAACACTTGCTGTATTTTCTATAAATACAATTTTCTATTTGAAAAATCGAATGAATTTTAATTAGCTAATTGAATCACAATGTTAAGTACTTATGCATCTCATACACATTTCGTAAATTAATCTAATCATTTACAATTTACAATTATTATTTAAAATTCTTATCATAAAATATTCAAGTACCTAATTTACAGCTAATAATATTAATTATCTATATACATAAATTATTTACATTTTTATTAAAACAAATTCTAATTGAAATTTCAAAATTTTGTGTATGTGATTACTCTTGTAATCGTAACAATAATCACATAAGTATAATCAACAATTTTTAGACTGTAGCCTTATTAAAATTAATTCTAAATATAAAATATTCAAATTCAAAGTACTTTAATATAAAAACCTTCTTTTTTGTATTCATCTACACTTGAGTGTTTGTACTCGACTCCGACTGAAGTATATAGAAAAATATATTAAAAGAAAAATAACGAAAAAAATTTACTTTGATTCACTTTTTTATTTAAATACGCGAATTATTCAAATATTTATGTATAAATCATTAATAAAATTATTAAAATATATTATGAGCTGTGCT